ATGGGTGTCTTGATAGGGGGGGAAGGGTGAAGAGGAGGGAGGTTGCGCTTGTGATAAGATATCTAAGTGCGACAATGTGTGCTATTAGATTCGGTTTTCACAACTTAATTATTACCTTCTTTAGGAGTGAATTTTTTTTTTGAATTGTCTATATACTCAAATGATTAAACGACATGTATTGATCAGTTTGTTTAATATATTTATAGAATAGAGATCTTCTCGAACTTATTTGTGATTGTCTATCATAATTAAAAATTTACCTCTTTGAATTTTTTTTAAGACTTATCACGGGGTCGTTTGGATGAGGAGTTCCAATGAATCAATCTGACACAATTGTCTCGTTTTGAGTCAATTGTGCCAGATTGATCCGTTTGGCAGCAAAAAAATATGGATGAAGCAATTTGGCTGGGGGAATTCTGAATTAACTCATTTTGAGCCAATTACAATTGTCTGGGGTGGGGCAGGCAATCTGAATTGACTCGTTTCGTAAAATGAAACAATTCATCAAATTGTCTCGTTTTACAATTGATCCATCCGAACTTTTGAATTGCATTTATGATGTGCAAAGAAAGTCCAAACCACCAAAGCAATAAATTTCAAAAGCCATAAGAAAAAGGCACTTTCCTTGTTCACCCCTTCATTCCACCTCCACCACCACAAGGGCCACTCTCCTTCTATATAAAGATGAACACCAATCCCAAACCAAACCCCAACCAACCCAAAAAAACAACATTAAAACCCTCTCTTCATCCTCTCTCTCTCTCTCTATCTCTACAAATTTCTTTCCAACATTCTCCAAATCTCCCACTTCCCTCCCAACTATGGTGATGCAAACCAGCCTGAGGGAAGCCATGAACGCCCGAACCATCACCGGCTCGCCCACCGCCACCCACGCCGGGCAGACCATGGTTCTGGCCCACGGGTACGGGGCGGACCAGTCGGCCTGGGACCAAATCCTCCCGGCGCTCTCCCAACACTACCGGGTCGTGGTCTTCGACTGGAGCTTCTCGGGCGCCGTGAAGGACCCGGACTTCTTCGACCCGGCCCATCACGCCACGTACGAGGGCTACGCGGACGACCTCGTTGGGCTCATCGACGAGATGGGCCTGGAGTCCGTCGTCTTCGTGGGCCACTCCATGGCCGGGATGATCGGATGCATTGCCTCCGTCAAAAGGCCGGAGCTCTTCAGCCGCCTCGTCCTCGTCGGCGCGTCTCCTAGGTAAACTGTTTTTGTAGATTTCCTTTTATCATTACGTTTATTTTTTTTATTAATGGTTTTTTTTCTCAACCATAAATAATTCGGTTTTGTCTGGTGTGTGAAAAAGTTGCTTTTCGTCCACAAAAGCTGGCTAGGTTTTTTTATGTGATAATAATTTTTTTAATAATAAATTTATTTATTTGGCGGCTAGGATAAATAAGGGGCATATTAAATTTTCATCATAATAAGTATATAATATATATAGTATGATAAATTGTTTTTATTAATGCCATAAAAGGGTGAGCTCACAATATTGGGAGAATATCAAGATTGTAGAAATATATTGGAAACTTTCTTTTTTATTGAATATAATGGTCCCAAAATACGATTATGACGTTTATACGAATAAAAAAAAATAAAAAAAAAATAAAAAACTCAATCGGATTTGATTGAGTGGTTGTTACATTAGATTTTGAATTCGCCTATAATCACAATGTCTACATATTATTCGTCGTAACCTGTTGAGAGTTAAGACACCGTATGAGGAGGGGAAAAAAAAGTAAAAGGGTTTCCTATGTAAAATTGTTTCATAGTTTTGCTTCTTCCCTGTAATTAATGAATACATATATAGCCGAACAAGTTTGGAACTTTGTTCCGGCCAGCTTAACGCCGGCCGGCTGGAAGTATTGCCGACATTACCACGTCCATCCCATGTCTGTGTTTTGCTCTTTGTTTCTCAGCTGCTAGCATATGCAACGAAGGAATATCAACCGGCATGAACCCATAAAAATACTGTAGGAAAAAAAAACATTTTACAATATTAAGGTCGACTTGAGTTGCAAACAAATTTGAGTTGGGCTAGCTACTTAGGTAGAATTTCATAAATATACCGTTTTGATAGTAGTTTAATGATATTGAAAAGACTAGAACGTAAAATTGTAACTGTGCTGAATTCTATCTCGAGAACCTAACCGACATGGCGACGATAAAGATGATATGCGAGTGTGTGATTTAACACAATTTTTTGTTTTCAATCCAGCGAATTAACACAATTAAATCTTAGAATTCGCGGTTTCAATCGTTAAATGCACAAATTCATATGTTATTTACACTAGCTAGCATCTCAACTATTGAACCATGTGGTCACAAAGAAATTGTGAGAGGAACACGAACTTTTTAGTGACCCCGCGAAGTTTACTTTTTGTGATCAGATACATGAACGACGAAGACTACCAAGGCGGATTCGACCGATCGGACATCGAGGGCCTCATGAGCAACATCGAGACCAACTTCACCAGCTGGACCCAGGCCTTCGCCGCCATGGTCGTCGGCGGGCACGCCCCCGCCGCCGTCGAGAAGTTCGCCGCGTCCCTGCGGCGGATGAGGCCGGAGGTGGCACTCGCCGCCGCGAAAACCGTGTTCTACTGCGACCACAGGGACGTGCTGGAGAAAATCACCACTCCGACCACCATCGTCCAGACGACGCGCGACGTCGCCGTGCCGACGTCGGTGGCTTACTTCATGCAGGAGAGGATCAGGGGGAAGTCGACGGTGGAGATCATGGACACCGACGGCCATTTTCCTCATCTCACGGTGCCGAAGGAGCTGCTTGGTTTGCTTGGCGGAGTTCTTGGGTTTGAAAGCTAATTGATCACAAGTTGTTGTGATCAGAATGTTGATTATTATACGACTAAACGTTTATATATTAATTAATTAATGTTAGGGTGTGTTTGGTTGGCTGTGTTTTGTTTTAGGGTTTTCTTTGTGTGTGTATGGATGTAGAGAGCAATTGGTATGGGTGATATATGAGATAAATAATGACATTGTTTTGTTTGTGGGTTCTCCATATCATTAATTACCTTTATCTCAACATTTCGAGTTATTTTGATAAGATTGGGTGTGATATAATATGGCATGGTAAGTGACATGTGTTTGAATCTTCATGGCTGATAATATAAGCAGTAATTGATTTAAGGACAATGTATGTATGATGGGCGCATGAGTAAACTTCAAGCAGTGATTTGACTTTCGTTTGAGGGGCATGTCAGAGAATGATACATAATTCGTTTATGTATAATAGTTAGATATTGACGTACTTTTCTTTGAATAATATATAAGAATGAGTCGACCTAGTGGGTTTTTTTTTGTCTTTATGTAAAATAATTAGATATCGACGTACTTTTCTTTAAACAATATATAAGAATGAGTCGACCCAGTGGTGGAGCTGTGTGTAGTTCAGGAAGGGCGACACCGCTATAGCCTCCCTCCAAGTTTGATTTTTAGGTTATAATTTGTATATTCATACCTTGAGAAACCATGGAAAGTGGTAGGATGGGGCTATTAGCCTCTCATCCTCCAAAGATTTAGGTTCAATCTTCAGAAATGGTTGTAATTTGCTATCTTCGGCCCCTCCCCACTCTAATTCCTTGGTTCGCTACTGAATCGACCTGTCCCCTCTTGTACCTGTGCAAATACTACTCAACCCGATATGTACTTAGTACGAGACGCGAATATAAATACTGGAGTACCCGCCCGCCTCATTGCGACCGGTCCGAGTTTATTGTGATGAACCGTAACCCACGATTCAAGGATTTTGCTTGTAACTCACAAGCGAGAGAAAGACGTTAGTGTCTATAAACCTTTGATTTATTTGATTGATACGAAACTAACGTCAAACGTACATATTTATAGGCTTAGGAAATCCTAATACGTAACCTAATCCTACCCGAATACCCTTCACTACTCGGCTACCCCTAACCCAAAACATACAAGGAAAACCCAAACCAAAAGGGAAGACACTCCTTGCCCAAATCCGAAAACAACCAAAAGCCCAAACCGAAAATACTCTCATCATATTGTATACACATTGATCCAATTAGAGGAGAATTCTGCTCCTTTGTATCTATCAATGCTTATCTTGATAGGTATACGTTCCCTTCGAAGTAATAAAGAAACGGTACTGCTTACTCAATGTGGTTGCGTAATAACTTTAGAGAATGAAGACAAATCGTCCCTTCTCGACATCAAAAGGCCATGAAGCAGCAAACGTGAGCGTATATGTATTATTGTACGTTGGGCTAGAAAGCTGATGAAGATTCCAGTAGTGATCAGAGCAAAAAGTAGATGAAAGCAACGTTATGGCAAGTAAAGTGGTTAATTAACCACTCCATTAAGTCGCGGATTATGTTATTAATTATTACTTGTCCCTGTGCAACAATGACGCCAATTAAGTGGACTCGTGTTAATTATATATATACGGTGGGAGCTACTACGTCCATATAGTCGTTTGCTATATTGTAAGTTAGGAGAAAGCTAGGTAGAAACCCTTTTTAAAATCACCGACATTGTATATAAGCTTATATACATTGTCGGTGATTCGTCGACGATAGATACAATATGTGTGCTAGAAGGACCTCTTAAGTAAGAAGTTTGAATCCTTCACAATGCTTTTGGTTTGATTTTGTGTCGTTTTGCTTATATGAGATTTGATAGAGTTGCACATTCCTTTCATAATTAGTTTGATTGTCTATTAATCACTGGTCGTGGCTACTAAATGTTCTTAACCCATTTTTCCTTTCTTTTCCTTCTTGGATTATATATGATAATAAGGATAGCACATATTGTCCATCGGATAACATCATACCAATTATGCGCACGGCCATAAAATTTTCACACAACATTATCAATTATTCATTCACGTTCATTTATATTCACGTATAACATACTTTTTCACACACACACCACTTCTACAATATATAAAGTAAATGGAGGGTTACTGAGTGCGTGAAGAAATATGTCATATGCTCGAAAAATTTATAGGATTAGGTGAAAATCTAGCTTTTGTGTGTGAAATTGTGAATAAGGAACGTGAGCAAATCCCACGAAAATCTCAAAAGTTAAATTAAGCCCACAAGACCAAATTAACGAATGAGCCCAATAGTGCTTACGATTCACCAAACTATTCTATTTTTTCAATGGCCCACATTTCCCCCCTGAGGTCTCAAGGAAACTTGGAGGGCAGAGGAGAAAGCCCAAAAAGAAAACCGCTCTAAGCCCACTATGCTCCCTCTTCTTTATCATCACATCTTTCCCCAGTAGTTCAGTTGGGGACAGTGCAAAGCTATTTGCTTCATCTCAAACAAGATCGATCTTCCCGTTCTCTAAAGGCTTCTTTATGAACTTGTAGCATACAAAGGTAAGCAGATCCCGCTCCATTTCTGTTATCTCATGACTGCAATCAACGAAGGGATCCGAAATCGTTACCATTTTGAATAGGGGCATCTATACCTTTATGCTAAGTTTTACCAAGGTAGAATTTCTGCTAAGCATTTTACACAAAGAGCAATAGGGGAAGCTGATAAAAGTATGTACCTGTATTCAGGCTCAAAGTCAAGTCCAGAAATATACTGCCTTGCTTTGCAGATTACAAACGAATCCAGTCGTGGGGCCGGCACTGCAAATCAAATACCAGTAGCCATCAATAACAATGAGCTTTGCTTGATTGCAGATATTGCTATCCTATCAAAAAGAAGAGATTCAAATATCCTACAAAGTGCTCATAAGGTCGATCATAACTCCAATGGAAAGAAATGACACATTCAATGTTTACAAGAAACAGAAAAGACCCAGTTCCCCTAATCAAGCATCTTTTTTCTACTAGAGGGGGGGTAGGAAATCATCTTTACATCCACTAAGAGCTCAAGATTCACTTCAGAAGGAATTGCAAACCTATTACAGACAAGATCATACCAAGCTTAAGTCTACTGGATACTTCATTTGGAGAATTCAATTCTAGAAACTGAAGATGCACACTTCTTCAGATGCTCTAAACTAGTAAAAATTCGGTTTTTGCAAAGAACGCATGTTACCTAAAAACAACTCCTAGAGAGCTGAGGATACCGCAGAAATGATCACACAACAGGTAATGGAAGGGAGCCTAACATACAGCAGTAAATAACAATGTTGGAAGAACATCATTCATTTACCCATGTCATCCTCTTCACTTGCTGCAGACTGCTTGAGCTCAGAATTGTAGTCAGTGGGCAGTTTCGATAGAACCGTCTCCTTGAGATGAGCTCTCAGATCATCTCCGCAGCTATAGTTGTAACAGTAAAACATTAAAAACATGGATTGAATTTGAACTCATCGTGCCAAGAATTCAGATTAAATATAAGGCAAAAGCAAAGCATTCACCTAGCAGCAAAAGTTTGTTCCTCGTCCGAGAGCCGGTTAAGAGACTCGTCAGTCTTCAGAATATGGAAGATGTACTTCTCAATCTACATCACAAATTGCACTGATTCAGCATAAACTCTACACTAAGGACCCCAAACCCTAAACCCAGAATTCCTACAGTAAAAAGATTGTACCTTCTGGAGGCGAACACGAAGATACGATCGCAAGAGAAACTGGGTTCTGTCCAAGTCCATCTGGTAAAGCGACATGGTGAGGGGATCTTCACCGTCTGCTTCAGATGCCTCCACATTTTGTTCCTGTAAAGACGATCGATGGGGTAGGAAATGAGAACAAATTGGGTACAAAGCAACCCAATTTTCCCCCAATTGGAGAAAGCTAAGGGCTTTACATATAAAAAAAAGTCATACCGCTAATTCAATTTGCTCTTTGATGCGGTGAACCAGAGCAGCTTCGTACTGAAGAATCTCGGGAGCAGCCTTCTCGTTTCGCCAGGCTCGCTTCAGTAGATCGACGTCGGTGGTGGAAATGAACGTTTCGTAATCGTCAGTGAAGCTCGTCGAGCCTTCTCCGGTGCCGGAATCCATCCTAGGTTTTCACTGCCTGTCTCTCGTTTCCCCCACTAAGATTTCGGCTTTACAGATTTGGGGAAGAAGAAGACGACTTGAAATTAGCGGGAACTAGGGACTTTGCGCGCCCTATCCTTCCTGGGCCCTTGCTCTAATCAAAGCCCAGAAAGTCCCAATGGCCCATCAAAGTACTGTCTACCTTCAGAAAGTCCCAATGGCCCATCAAACATGTAGTCATTTACAAATTATATGTACAGATGAGAATGAGATTATACCTTTACGGCCCTGAATAGCAGTGGGGTAACCCTGCTATCTTCAGGGCTCTTTGCAGTTTCACAAACAAGTTGATTCGACTCGGCATCGTTCAACTCCATCATCTTCATCATACAGATCAGATTTGTCCTCCTCGTTGTTACTTGCTCTGCTGCTCTTCCAAACTCTGTCACAGCTTCTATGACAGCAGATTCATATACAGTGGCCTTTTCACCAGACTCCGAGTCATTAAAAACTAGATCTCGAACTTTCTCAATCGCGAGTTTTAGCAAGATGGCAAAATCTTGTACCCACCCCTCCGCCAGGATATTAGAAACTACATCTCCTATGTCTTCTGTATGTTCACAAAGGCGGGTAACTGTCGACAAATCCTGTAAAAGTTTCATGACTCGTCAGGTGAACAATATGCTCTAGTACAAAGCAAGATTGCATCATATAGTTGCATCCATTGCTACCACTCTAACTGAGTTCCACTTATCTTCTATCAGAACAAGACATGTAAGTCATTAATAATACAGGAGATCATTCATAGCTTCTCTAAACTATGTTTTAATAAGTTACACTGCACAGCATGAAGGATCACTAGCGTCTTAATTCAGATCCAAACTCGTGAAACTGAAACGCCCCAACTGCAAACAGTACCCCATACCCGCACGAGGAAGAGCATCAATCCTAAAGAACCAAGCTATGACTCTACTCAAGAGATTGAGCTGCTAAACCTTATGTCCTGCAAGTTGTATCAAAACAGTAACAAACTAAGATAATGATCTCGACAGATGATTAGAGTGGCGAGAACCATGTGGTACATGACCAATTCAATACTATTTCCCAAGTTTTCAGAGCATGGCAACTACAAGGACTCAAGGAGGCAATACCAATTAAGAGAATGCACATCTATTCCAGGAACAAGAAAAATCATTTCCAGAAGTTCTTCATAGTCAAGTTGAAATCAAGGTGAACACCAGCAAGCACATTGCAGCCTTGAACAATGCACCAACAAATTCGATGGCTGATATCAAACTGTAATCAATACTCAGCTTCATCAACAACATCCACATTCCAACCAAATGACTACCGGGTGGCTTTACCTCTGAACCTGATGCTCCATTCCAAACTAGGAAGTAGTACTGCATTGTGTTCCTAGAATCACAACTAAAATCGACAGACAACAAGAGCATACATAACCATGCTGACCATCATCACATTCAGATTTCAAAGCAAGAATCACAACTATAGACCTGGATGGTTGCGAATTTTTCCATACCCTCATGGCATACGTTCAAAATATGGAAACGGATATGTTTAACAGAAGCAAGTAAAGATAATTCATTATATAGAAGGATAAAATTAGTTATTTGTCATAACCGTCGAAAAATACGTTTGAGATAATTAAAAAAACCTAAAGATATGATCCAAACTAAAATTTCTAGTACAATATGTTCAAGATAAATAAATGAATTACCAACAAAAAAAGAATTTTTTTTCAATTGTGCCATGCATGTACTCTTATTGCAACTTAAATATGAATATATGAGAATACTAGAATTTCGAGAAAAAATAATCTACCTAAGTTCAAATTTCTTAAAATATGAATTATAAACTCAAGATAAAACTTAAATGGAAATCGCTTTCATAGGTAATTTAACTAAAAAATCTTTAAAAAGAAGAAATTGAACTAAAAAAAATCTTTAAACTTTAAAAAGAAGGAATTGAACTAAAAAAATCTTTAAATTAGCTATTTGTCATAACCGTCGAAAAATACGTTTGAGATAATTAAAAAACCTAAAGATATGATCCAAACTAAAATTTCTAGTACAATATGTTCAAGATAAATAATTGAATTACCAAAAAAAAAAAGAAATATTTTCAATTGTGCCATGCATGTACTCTTATTGCAACTTAAAAATGAATATATGAGAATACTAGAATTTCGAGAAAAAAATAATCTACCTAAGTTCAAAATTTTTAAAATATGAATTATAAACTCAAGATAAAACTTAAATGGAAATCCTTTGATAGGGAATTGAACTAAAAAATCTTTAAAAAGAAGGAATTGAACTATAATCTACCTAAGTTCAAAATTTTTAAAATATGAATTATAAACTCAAGATAAAACTTAAATGGAAATCCTTTGATAGGGAATTGAACTAAAAAATCTTTAAAAAGAAGGAATTGAACTAAAAAAAATCTTTAGAAAGAAGGAATTGAACTAAAAAGTTGAAAACAAAATATAAACCACTGGCATAAGGAATCGAACCCTGATTCAGGTGACTCAATGGAAGCAATTTCTCCGCTAGAGTAGAAGCAATTTCATTTTTACTAATTGACGCTTTATATATTAATATAACAAATATAACTTATACGTAATTTCCAAAATTCTCGACGTATACAAGCGATCTTCAAAATTCTCGGGGGGGGGGGGGGCCGAGGCCCCCTCGAGCTCCAATGTAGCTTCGCCCCTGGAGACCACCTCAACTCATCTCTGGAAAAAAATAACAGACCAGAAATTTAGAGTGAAAGGAGGACAGAATGCAAACAAGAAAGGGAAGGTAAAAGGAGCCTTTGATTGTTTGGACCGATTACCTTGCTCTCGGAACGGAAATCGCCAGGGGGATGGCTCCAGAACCATCTTCGGCCTTAACATTCGTCCGAGCCCCTCGGTCGAGTAAGATCTCAACTAACTCTAGGGAGTTTCGACAGGCGGCCAAATGGAGAGCTGAGAGAGGAAATATACCCCTACCGATTCCATTGATAGGGGGTGTGATTCCCAACCGCCATCCAAGATGGCGGTCACACACCTGATCGAGTGATAAAAACAGGAGAATAGTAGAGTATCGAGTAGCTCAACTGGCTCTGTCACTTCTGAAACATGGACTTGGGATTTCACCCCGTCAAAATCATCTTCAATAAAAGCTTTCCTGAGTTGGCTGTTGGGAACCAGTCGAGCGTCAAATTGGCTCCAATCGAAGCTTGCTGATACCTATCATCATATACCACAACACAAACAATTTTCCCCTTTTCACTTTCCCCGCTCTCTTTTGTGGAAAAATCAAGAATGGAGGGAAGATCAAGCGGGGTAAAAGCAAGGAGTTCGAAGACAGATGAATCAGCGAGTGATTCCGGCGGTGGAGCAGTTCCTTCCCCCAGCGACGGCATCTCTCCGGTAGGGAAAATTTTGTTAGCTGTTTGTTTCGGTATACCTTAATTTTTATCTCTTCCACCAAATCTCTCCGGTATATGATCACGATTGAACCTCTCCCAACAACTCGAGTTATTGGAATCAACTGGTTCTTGACATGGTATCAGAGCTTTCTGTGACAAACGGCTAACAAAATTTTCCCTACCGGAGAGATGCCGTCGCTCGGAGAAGGAACTACTCCACCGCCGGAATCAATCGATGATTCATCTGTCGTCGAACTACATGCTTTTACCCCGCTTGATCTTCCCTCCATTCTTGATTTTTCCACAAAAGAGAGCGGGAAAGTGAAAAGGGGAAAATTGTTTGTTTGTTGCGTGGGAAAGTGACAATGGGAAGTTTGTTTGTTGCCTATATATCGGATGGTAATGGGCTAATGGCAGAGAAATGAAAGAAATAGAATTCTGTGCTACCAGAAAGTACCAATGCAGGGGAAGTACTTTCATCATCGCGAAAGGAGAATCACTGGAATGAAGAAAAGTGTCCATTCCAGCCTTTGGAGAGGCATTCTCAAAGCCTACCCACTGATGCAAAAAGCTACTGTCTGGAGTATCAGGGATGGGCAAACAACTGAGTTTTGGAACCACCCCTGGATTGATCAAGACACAATACTGGAGAAACACTGCCTCAGAACCCTGACTGATGATGAGAAACTTACCTCAGTTGCTGATATGGTGAATGAACAAGGTGAGTGGGATTGGACAAAGCTTAACTCTCTTCTCCCTAATGTTTGGCTGTCTCGCATTGCAGGGATGGAAACTCCAAAACATGGATTGGGGGAGGACACCACTATATGGGGACTTGAACATGACGGACGATTCAGGCTCAAATCGGCCTACTTTCCTGCTGCGAATGAGATTGACATGACGGATGATCAGGGCTGGAAGGAGCTGTGGAAGTGGAGTGGACCAAGCATAGTGAAGCACTTCCTCTGGCTGGTCATGCACAACAGGCTGCTCACCAACCAGGAAAGAACGATTAGAAAGCTGACAAATGATGGCAGCTGCAAGGCTTGCAACGATGGTTTGGAAACAATTGAGCACATCCCGAGGAAGTGCAAAAAAACAGAGGGAGTCAGACATTTCTTCAGAATCGGACAATATGTCCATGACACAAGAAATTTCAAACAGTGGATGATGGAGAACCTGAATGATGCTGAGAAAGGAATTGAATTCGGTATCATGTGTTGGATGATTTGGAAGCAAAGAAATGAGGAGACTTTGGATGGGAAAAAGTTCTCCGAACCAGGGCTCATCAGCAAGATTGTCTCCTGTATTCGAGTGTATCAGCAAGCAAAGTTTAACGAGGAGAGGAGCATTCTGTCACCAAGGAATCAACTAATCTCCACCCCCATTACGTGGAAGCCACCAAGGGAGAACTGGATCCAAATCCAAACTGACGGATAAGTTCTTCAAAGTTCAGGGAAGGCGGCGGCGAGAGGGCTCATTCGTGATCATCTCGGCAGGTGTCTTGATGCTTTCATCTGTAACTTAGGGAACTGCACGATCACCATGGCCGAACTGAAAGGCGCTGAAATTGGATTACAAAGAGTGTGGGACAAAGGGTACCGGAAGGTCGAGCTCAACCTCGACTCTATGACGGCGATCAGTATCATGAAGAACAACAAAGACACGGATCATCGTTATGGGCTCATAGCTGCACGTATTGGAATTCTGTTGGATTTTGAATGGGATGTCAAGGTGTCCCATGTATATAGAGAAAGTAATTACGCTGCCGATTTCTTGACAAGCAAGGGGCATTCGGCCAATTTTGGTACACATCCATTCGATGTGTACGATCCTAGTTTTTGTAACTGGTTGATGTATGACTCCATGACCATCTCCATGGATCGTTCTATTAATGTTATGAATTAGGACGCATGACGTCCGTCTTCCTAACAAAAAAGAAAAGAAAAAAGAAAGTACCAATGCCATACCCTCTTCACCGGCTATAGCAAGTCTTCCTGTTACTGCGTTATGGAAAACAAACAAGCAAACACATGTTGCCGATTTATTTATTTTATTTTCATTTATTGTTACATTACTCTTTGTAATTTACATAAAAACAAGAATTTTATTAATATTTACAATTTACGTATAATATTGTATTTATATAATTCACTTCTATTTGGCATTTATACTTTTGTCCCGCTTCTATCCATTTTGTAGCTATTCCGCCCCTGAGACAGACAACATACCTTAGACACTTATAAGTCCGGGGTATTCAAACCACTATTGCAAGCCATACGAGAGTAGCGCTTTACTTCTGTCGTTTGTTCGTCTAGTCAAGCAAGGTTGCTTTATCAGATGACTGGTTAAGTTCTTTCCAGACTTGCTTCACCACTTATGCTAGCAGAGAGAAAGGCATTAGCCAATCTCAGGAACGGAGTGTATAAGGTATGACTCCGACACCCACTTAGCCCATAGCTTTATGGCTTAGAAGAGTAGCTGACATTGGCTCTTTGCTTTAAGGACATTCGATCAAGGGTATGACGGGAGATGGCAGGGAATGTAGAAGATAGCCACAGGCAATACATAAGGTTAATATGTATAACAAAGTTAATTGTAGTTTAATTGCATGGTTGGTCATCGAGATTACAAAAAAAACGTTCATGTTTGGTTACTAGAAATATTTGAATTCATTTGGATAATTATTAGTATTTCAATAGATAAAATAAAAGAATCCGCAAAAAGATTTGGATAAAAAATAGACATTACCCTATTTATAAATAATGAGATACTAGATTGTACCCAACCCGTTGGCCGGTTGCAATTTGATAATACTAATTAACAAAATTTCAAAATTTTAATTATATGTATATTTTTTTAGTATTTGTGTCATGATTATATTGTATGTCAATGTCATGCAAATTAACAAATAATGGTACCAGTTTTACAAAATAGCAAGACAGTTTCTTAATTTTTACGATTGAGAAAG